ACACCCCTTCTCTTAAAATGCTCCCAGCCTAATTCTAGTCTTTCAAGTGATTTGAAAATGAGATTTAAATGCACCAATTATTATGTGGCAAAGTATATGCTACCTTTTTTTTTCCATATATAAGGCTATAAAAAAACAGGAGACATTTAGCAAGGGACAAATTACTATATAAAATGCAAAATGCCTCTACAATAAAAAGTGTGACTTTCGTTAGAGCACGATTTGATTTATTCTCTTAGCCTTTCTGATAAGTGAACCTTTGCATTTTCATATTTTGTTCTTAATTTTTAAGTATTGGAGTGCGTGCAATGAATGATCAATAAGTAGAGAGGGCAGCAGTACCATAGTGCTTTGAAATTGCTCTGTTCACACCTCTCCCCTGTTTTCTCCAGGGACAGCGTTCCCCACTCATCCTTCTCTCTATTACAGCTGCCCCTGATGATTAAATATCAGTACCAAGCAGCTTTGTAGTATATTCTCCTAGGAGACTTCTTCTATTCATTTCTAGCATAATCTCTTATACTCATTTCTTGGGAATGAAAACCCATCTTGTCGCTTTCGGCCAGGTCCCAGAAGTGAAATACTGGGGCACATTAATCTGCCATGACAGCCTAATCCCATTCCTCACCACCTCCCAACAATTCTCAATTTCCTAATTACCTTTCATAGTTTTCCTTCTTAAAGTTTCCTTTAAGTCAGGCTGCACACTGTCATTCAGTCTCTTTTTCAAAGAATGCATATCTAGGGAAGTTACGAAGGTACATTTACATTTGCACACATTTTTGGTGCCTGTGCAAAGTGCTGAATGCCTGAAGGGAAATTTTCACTTTGACTTTTCTTTTTAACAAGTTTCTCCTCATTGAGCTGCCTATCCAAAATGAAAAACTTTAGTATTTTAGAATGACCTAATCAATAACACACATCATAAATACTTACATATATAAAGATATTTGTACTTATGGAATGTGGATTCTCTTCCTCTCTCCATATACCCTACATATGTAATTGTATTTTCACAACTACAGGATGTGTGCCCCGAAGACACTTTTGTGATGGGCATACTTAGCACAGACAATTAAAATGAGGTGTGTTGTTAAAGTCAATTTTTTCCATATGTGATTGATCTCAGGGTTTTTTTTTTTCATATTTTATGTGAGAAAGTAGAAGCATACCTTTATAAGTAGAAGTATATTATGTGAGAGACATGACCGCTTTATAAATGGTTTTACGATCGGCTGGGCGCAGTGGCTTACGCCTGTAATCCCAGCACTTTGGGAGGCTAAGGTGGGCAGATCGCAAGGTCAGGAGTTCAAGATCAGCCTGGCCAACATGGTGAAACCCCATCTCTACTAAAGATACAAAAAATTAGCTGGGCATGGTGGCACGCGCCTGTAATCCCAGCTACTTGGGAGACTGAGGCAGGAGAATCACTTGAACCTGGGAGGCAGAGGTTGCAGTGAGCCAAGGCAGCACCATTGCACTGCAGCCTGGGCAACAGTGGGAGACTCTGTCTCAAAAAAAAAAAAAAAAGGTTTTATGATCAATTAATAGTAATAATGCTGCATATTATGTCCCCCCCAGCCACAAAATCACAATGCATTTTCACATATTGCCGCCTATAGAAAATTCTTACCATAAATAAACAGATTCACTTTTTAAAGCCAGCATTTTCCAAACTTATTTGGCCATGGAACCCTTTTTACTTCTTCCCTTAATGCTATTTACCATTCAGAAGAACTAGTATTCTGTAGAATACTTTTCATAAAGCTTATCTGCACACACACATGCGCATGCACACACACACACACACACACACACACACACACACATTGCCACTTATATTAAAACTGTAGACTTGGTTCTTTGTGGTCCTAGGAAGTTGGTTGTGTAACAGCAGATATAGGCAGCATTCCTAGCGGGCCTTGGCCTGAGACAAAAGGCAGTGAGGGGTTTGGCAGTCTAGAAAATCTGCCAGGGACCAAATCTAATCGTATAAATAAGGGATCCATTTGGAAATGGAAGTATCCTTGCTTAGATTTAAAAAAAAAAAAAAAAAAAAAAAACCCTCAAAGTTGTGTTAGTGCCATGCTCCATCTCTGAGGTCTAAGATGGCATCTTGCTTGCAGAAAAGTGAGAATTTTTAGTGCAAAGTTTATCAGAGAAAAATTCCTGACACAATTATAGGGGGCTGTGAGCTTCCTGAAGATCAGAACATGTCTTATTTCCCTTTGTATTCCACATGCGTGAGGCCTGACATAATAATAATTATCAATGCTTATTGGTTGAATGAATGATGGATGAATGAATGACCCACAATGTCTCCCCACACTTTCATGACATTAGACTGGTTCAGTTGCAAAATCTACCTATTTCCTGTGATTGAATCAGTATTGTGTGAAGGTGGGAAGAATGTAAGGTGGAATTACAGAAGGGAACAAAGAGGGAATCCGCCGAGGAACTGCTCAAACCATAGACAGTGGCTGCCTTTGCACAAATACCATGAGATAGAACACACCAGATCGGAGGCATATGGATATGGGGGAGAGGCCTCCCTCCTATGCACAGAAAGTAGCAGTGCATCAGAAGCCATGGTGTATTTGTTAAAAGGTGTCATCATTGTCCCCATCCCCATTTGCTTAAAGGAGAAAACATCTCCTTATTCACTGAAACGAAGATACAGAATGACTTCTGATCATCTAACTGATGTAACTTTTGGAGAGTCTGTTAACCCAACATGAATAAAGGAAGAAATAACATTTTGTATCTTGACTAGATACAAAACATTCACACTAGTAAGTGAGGTGCATGCGAGAATGGCTGATTGACAGGAATGATCACAGGAATCTAAGCCTGTGGTTAGTAGTGATACTAATAGAATTCTGAATTAAATTTTGAAATTTTCTTTCATTGATAACAACCAGCTTGGTAAAAATGGGGAATCAAATATCAAATATGTGTGATAATTATAATTATCATTTTCATTATGTAATAAGAAGCTTAAAAACTTGGATACAAATCTAGAACTGATAAAAGCTAGCTGTGTGACCCTGAGAAAGTTATTTAACTTCTCTGAGCCCTGTTTTCCTCATGTGTAAATGAGAAAATAATACTTATATCATGATCACTGTCAGGACTAAATGCTATAATGTATTCAGTTGTTAATATATAGACTAGTGCATGGTAGATACTAATGGTTGCTTTTATTAATAATAATATTAATATTATAAAATATGCTAACACCCTTATTATCAACCTCCCAACTTGAACTGTAGTCTCTCGACATAGTAACTACTGTAAACTTATTAGACAAGAAACCAATATCTTTTAAAGCACTTACTCCATGCCAGGTACTAGAATGTGATGTGCACACAAAGCATCACAGAATTTTAACAGCTAAGAAAAAGGCATATAGTATACATTTTGAAACATGTATCTTCATGGAAATGAGCTCTATGTAAGACAAATAGTAACAAACAGTAAATATTAGTTTATCACTGATTACTAAGATTCACCTAGCAAATTTTCACTTATTAAATGATATAAATTAAGGCAAGATTTAAAGAAATAACACATACATGTTTAAAATCTAATACCCTCCTTACTAAGCACTTTACTAAGAATAATAATTCCTATATTTTATATTTTATTGTTTCATATAATATTCAGTAATCACTACTGAACCTAATCCTGTTGGATGAGCAACCACATGTTGGGAGAGTCTTTCCAAGAATTACAGGTCCCTTGTACCCCCGAACTGATGGTGGTTTTGGGCTGCCTCACACTGAAGATGGAGGAAAGCTTGTGACCAAAATTCTTCATGTTGCATTTAGATGCAGTCCTTGCTTCTTTCACTGGCAGGACAAATTGTGTGTAGTCAATCTCCAGCATTTCCAAGTTAAGGCCAAATGGCGCTTTCAGTGTCGAAGCCCCCTGCAATAAGCAAGAAAGAACAAAAAGCTCTAGATGGATCCTTAGCCTGAGTCCTGTGGCTGCCTTTTATACTGTGGACTTATCTGGGATCTCTTGATTCTTAAGATGCTCTAACTCCCATTCCTTAAACAAAGTTGGAAATAAATGTTTTTGAATTTCTTTTTTTGAGTCTTGTTCTGTCCCCCAGTCTGGAGTACAATGGCACAATATTGGCTTACTGTAACCTCTGCTTCCTGATTTCAAGCAATTCTCCTGCCTCACACTCCTAAGTAATGAACACTTTGCAGAACTGACATTGTTAAGAAATGCATTGTTCTACAAAAATGAAATTTCAGATAATTCAAAGTAATCCCTTTAAGTATCAATGAGTATTTTATTAATTTAAAATGGAAATAGTCATATGTGTTTTAATTATTGATTAATAATTAATATAGACTACAATCTACTACATGCTGGGAACTGTAATAGGCATTTTCAAATATTTTATTGTTCTCATAAATAACAGGTTAGGTAGATAATATAATCTTAGAGACAAAGAAACTGAATCTTAAAGAGGCCAAATAACCATCCAAAGCTGCTACTTGGAGGAAGAGCTGAGATTTCATTCCAAATCCAGAGAACTTTCAGAGTTCCATACTGAGATATCATAGTGTGACTGTGGACTGGGAAGCCATACTGGAAGTTTGTCAGCTTTTCATGTAGAGTAGATAAAATGCACTCTGCAGAATATTCACAAGGTCATCTCCTATGGAAGCTCAAATTCGTTTTGACAGTTGTTCTGAACACTCAGAAGTCACAGAATTTAAAAAGACAATTATGTCTTTTTTTCCTCAGAACATCCATAGCCCTTCGATTGGACCTGGAGCATATTTCCACAGTGTATTAGTATTTGCATTGTTTTTATGTGCATTATTTTTCCTTATGATCTCGTCTCATCTTTCTCACTAGTCTGTAAATTTCTCAGGGCCAGAGACTGCCGAATTCATCATATATCATCCATGGCATCTAGCCTAATACCTAGAAAGTTCTATGTATTAGGAACTTTCTTATATTTCTCTGTCCTCTTTCAGGAGTGGCTCCGCCCTGGCCCAGCTCTATGGAACCTCTGCTACCTTGGAGCATCACCATTTTAACCATGCCGTGATGATCCTTCAAAGTGAGGTACAGGCCCAACTGTCTACTTCTCCACTTGACAGAAACCAGAACAACTCTGTTTCCTCCCTCTCTTTCTTTGTGGTGCCACAGGTAGAGACAAAGAAGCCGGAAAACCATTTCGAAGTCAAATTACTGGGCCTTGGTGGCTTTTGCTGTTCTTTTAGATACCTGAGCAGGACCTTACAGAGTCTTCTGAGCTAATTCACTTGGGCTTAATTATTGATTATGAGGCTTTTCAGATTCACTTAACAAGGTAACAGATATAGACTGCTTGTCACTAGAGCATGACCTAACCTTCCTCAAAGGATACAGAGCACTAAGGGAATGACTTAATCCAAATAGTGAGTGGCCCAACATTCCCATTTTGTGAAACTCTAAGTCATTTTAAAAGATGGTAGAAGTAAAAATAGGGTGAGAAAGTTACACTTTATTAGCACAACTAAGAAACGATAAAACATAAAAGAACTTAAAATTGCTGGGGGGACCAGTTAGGATGTGAGAACTGCAGCTAAACTTAAGACTCAGGGCTGATGCCATATGCCTTATTTTGCTTTGTGTGGCAATGCAGGAGTTAGCAGTAGTTGGAATTTTATACTTTAAGCTCTCCACAGAGAAAAACAGAAACCACTAACTGACTCTGGCTACGGCATCTGAGCTTTAAATTGCCAGGAAAGAATCTGTTTAATTTTCTGCAGGCATACAGACCTTTTTTTTTTTTTTTTTTTTGAGGCCAGGAAGGGATCATCTGTTCCCCATTATTTGTCAGTTCTCTAGCTGTGCCATTAATTATTATTATTATCATCATTAAGGCCCTGCTTCGCTGGAATAGCATCATTAAATATGGAGGTTTTTTCCTCCAGCCTATCTTGAGAAAGCATGTCTTTTGCAATATCATGGAGGCCTTCAACCCCATAAAGGAGAGTCGGCACTCCGGAACCTGAATGCAGGCTGCACAAGGGAAAACCTGCTGGGAATGATGTGTTTTCAGTTGGGAATGAAACACCAAGAGTTAGGCTCTCAGTAACTGGCAAAAGCCAGCATCCTGGCCTCTGTAGCTACGGAATTTTCCTCCAAAAGTTCTGTGGAAGAACTTCGATTCAGATTATCTTTTCTGTACTGATAAAGGTGATGACTATACACCTCTGGCTCCACAAACCACCACCTTTGTAATAACAAGCATTATAAACAGAATGCCAGGTTTCCTTAGGGAAACAAACCCCACTCACTCAGAATTTGTGTTCATACAAACAAAACACATTGGCCGTCCTTCACTCTGGGGTTCCCTATGAAGAGCAGAGACTATCAAAGGCGGAACCATGCTCTGTCCCAGCACTGCCTCCAGCCCTCCGTGGTCCTGCCCATCAGAAAAGCAGAAATGCCACTGGTGGTATTGTTCCACTTTCCAAGTAAGCTCTGGTGCAGAGAGGTTAGATGGCTTGAGGAAGTTTGCCCAGACTTTTCTTCCTCCACATCTGCATGTCGTTCCATTAATGCCACACACTGCTTCCCTAACAGAGTAGAGGCAGTATTTCAGAGAGACTCAAATCTACTTCAGGGACCAAAATGTTAAGGCACTGTAGAAGACTAATAAACAATACATATAAACATATAAACAATACACTGATTGCAAATTAACTTTTTAAAAAAATTAAAGCCGCTCTGGCTAGCACTGTCACTCTTAGCTGTAAATGTCATTAGTGATTATATATCCTTCAAAATACCATATTTTTACTGTACCTTTTCTATATTTAAATAGGTTTAGATATACAAATACCATTGTGTTATAGTTGCCCACAGCATTCCGTACAGGAACATGCTGTATGGGTGTATGATGTAGCCTAGGAGCAATAGGCTATCCCATATAGCATAGGTATGCAGTAAGCTCTATCATCTAGTTTTGTGTAAGTGCACCCTATGATGTTCACACAATGAGGAGGTCACCTAACAATGTATTTCTTGGGATGTACCCCATTGTTACATGATGCATGACTGTAATAAAATGCACACCCTCATAAAATAATCAGCATCCTCAAGTTCAGACCAGCTTTCTTCATATCTCAGTGTTAACCTTTACTACAACTTCCTCCTAAAGGCTGCATTTCTTTGGGAGATGCTTGGTGCATGGCTGGACCCAGGTGACTGCTTTTCCATAGCTTCCTACCACATTTTCCCCAGTCCCAGAACACCTGCCTGTGATTGACCCTTGGGTAATGCACAGGCAAAAAACCTGGGCAGAATCATGGTGCAGCATTCCTTTTGTTATTTGTCTTCTTAATGGCTGAATTAAGGGTCTGAAGAGCTCATTTGAAAATTATTATTAATATTGGACCTGGTCCCAGGTGGAACCAATATACTCTATTCTTTAAGGAGTGGCAGGTTCACCCAATGAAATAAATTAACTTGGGAGAACAGATCATCATCTGGTGCCTGGTAAGAGATAATTTACTAATTGATAATTCTAATTCGCTGAAATAATTAATTTACCTCTCATTGGATAATGGTTCATTCTCAGGCAGTACTCCTCCACCATCTTCCGGCTCTCAACATATGATTTAAAACTGATCCAGTTCCCAGGCCATATAATGATGAGTTCATATTTCACACTAAGAAAACCTGGAAAATGAAAAGTCCTAACTTTCTTTTTTTTCCCCATTTATTTTATTGCATTTTTGGTTTTGGGGTACATGTGAAGAACATGCAAAATTGTTGCATATGTACACACATGGCAGTGTGATTTGCTGCCTTCCTCCCCATCACCTACATCTGGCATTTCTCCCCTTGCTATCTCTCCCCAGCT